GGACCGGAGGCTGGGTCAACACTGTTAAGACACCAGGTCTCCTAAAGTTTACCCCGTGGGTCTAATGCAGTCCCAGCCAAAATCCCAGCAGGTTCTTTTATGCGGAAATTTACAAGGCTGTTCTATAAATGCAAAGGACCCACACTAACCAAAACAGCCCTGAAAATGCATGAAACCGGGCTAACATTCTGAGAATTAGGATCAGTCTAGAGTAACCCAAACGGTACTATTGGTGTAAAGATCTTCAAATAGATTGAGAAAATAAAATAGACCCATACATATACAGAAGTAATAGCTCTCCCAATACATGACGCTAAAATAGGTGGATATCCACCTACAAGAAGGAAGAAAGAAGAGGAAGAAGAGGGTTATTTGAATACAAGGTTAACTCAAAATGGAGTGTAGACCTAAATAACTATAAAAACATAGGGAAAATCTTAATGAATGTGGATTGGCAAAGATTTCCCAGACATAATACCAAACCCAATCCCCCGCTGCAACAACACTGGCCGATTGAAATTCATCAAAAATGTTTAAAACTTGCTCTTTAAATTTCATTGTATTTCACTGTGAAGAGAAGGAAAACCTAAGACACCAGCTGGGAGAAAACCTTAGCAAAACACATATTTCATAAAGGGCTGATCCAGAAAACAGAAAGAACCCTCACAACTCAATAATAAGAAAGCAGATCACCCAGCTTTTAAAAATGGGCCAAAGATCAGAACGGGCAGCTCACGAAACAAGACAGATGAATGGTGACGAGGCCCGTGACTAGAGGCACAGCTCTGTCATTGTGGGAATGCAAGATAACATCACAGGATACCACTCCATGAGAATGGCTAAAACTATAAAGCCCTTTAAACATAACAAGCGCTGGGCAGAATGGAGAGGGGCCTCACATCACCGGTGGGAACGTTGACCCATACGCTCGGCAGTATCTGTTTTCTCAAAAAGTGAAACATACACCTGCCATGTGACGTGGTCATTACGTCCAGGCATTTCCCCACGAGAAAAGGAAATGTTTGTCCTCACAAAGACTTTCACATGAATGTAAATGGCAGCTTTATTTTTAATCGTCAAAAACTGGAAACAGCCCAAATGCCCATCAGCAGATGAACACGCAAACGAATTGTGGCCCGTCCATACCATGGAGGTCAGAAGGAATGCAGGGTTGAGGCATGCAAAGGCACAGATGAGTCCCAAAATAGTTACGCTGGGAGAAAGAAACCAGACAGAGAAGAGGACAAGCTACATGCTTCCATTTATAGAAAACTCCAGAAAATGCAAGCTAACCAGGTCATTGGTTGCTTGATGGGGCACGGGGAGAGGAGGAGGGAGAGATGAGAGAAGGGGTTACAAGGATCCAACGATGCTTTTGGGGGTGATGGTCTCCCTGACACAGGCACGGAGCAGGTGTGGGGACTCCTGGGGAGGGAACCGCACCCTCCCTCCAGAAACTTTCTCAACCGCATTCCCACCCACAGTTCCTATCCTCAGGGGAGCCCTTCCGTGAAAACGGGGTGGCAAGGAATGAGGTGGCCTTCACTCAGGTGATGAGGGGTTCTGAGGGCCAAAGGCTTACATGTGCTACCACCAGGCCTTTGCACATGCTGGCCCCTCCCACCTCCTGCTACTCTTCCCCGCACACATCTCCCAAGAGCATCTGATGTATCTCGCTCGTTTGCTTGGGTGCCTTTGTCTCACTTGGGGGACATGACCACGAAGGCAACGAGTTTATTGATGTAGAGTTTTGTGCAGTGCTGTGTCACCAACTCCTGGAACGACACTTAGTAGGTTCCCAGACAATAGGGGTACAACAAATAAATGAGTGTGTGAATGAGTGAGTGCACACGCAGCCTCTCTTCGACCTCCTCCCCTCTTGGTCTGCAGTCTGAAGTCACCTCCAAGCTCACCTCTTCCTTTCCCTCCAGCCCAGCGTCTCCCACTGCTGTCTGAAAGGACCCCCAGCTCCCCAGCCTGGCCTGGGAGGCTCAGCATATAAGCCGGCCTCACAGGGTGGCTCCTGCCTGGCCCCACTCCTTATCTGTCCACGGGGGGCTCCGCCTCCCCTGGGCCAGCTCCCATCACTTCCGAGGTTTCCCTGGCACCAGCACATGGTGGGGGGCAGGTGGGGGTGTCAGATGTTGGCCAATGAAAACGCATGCGAAGATAAAAGAAGTACATTCCTGCACGCCTGTCACTACAGCCAACATCCAAAACGCTGACACCATGAAATGCTGGTAGGAATAAGGAGCAGCAGGAACGCTCTCTCAGCACCGGTGGGAATGCGGGACAGGGCAGCTCCTCTGGAAGCCAGCTGGGCATTTCCTTGCAGAACTAAACGCACTCTTCCATACGATCTAGCAGGGGTGCTCCTTAGTGTGTCTCCAAAGGAGTCGAAAATTCATGTCCACCCAAATGCCTGCACGCAGCTGTCTGTAGCAGCTTTACTCGGAATTGGCAGAACCTGGAAGGAGCAAAGCGGGCCTTCAGCAGGTGGACGGATGAATGGTGACCCACCCACACAAGGAAGTGTTATCAATATTAAAAAGAAATGTGCTATCGAGCCATGAAAAGACATGGAGGAGCCTTAATTGGATCTTACTGAGTGAAAGAAACCCATAAGAAAAGGCAAGACCCTATGGGATTCCAACAATGTGACCTTCCGGAAAAGGCTAGACGATGGCAAAAGCAGAGAGATCAGTGGTTGCTGGGGCCTAAGTGGGGTGAGCAGGAGGAACACAGGGGATTAGGGCCATGAAACTACTCCGCATGAGCCCATGATAGTGGATACATGTTCTTATACTTTCCTCTAAACTCACAGAACATCCAACATCAAGAGTGAATCCTAAGGTCAATGGTAGACTTCAGTCAGTAACAATGTCTCAGTTTCGGCCCATCAATTGTAACAAAGAGACCAGCTAGTGAAGGCTGTTAACAGTAGGGAAGCGGGTGGGGAGAGGAAGGTAGACACTAGAATTTCCTGGTACTTTGTGTGCAATTTTTCTGTAAACCTGAAAATGCTCTAAAAACAACGTCTACTAAAAACAATTGAAAACAAACAAATAAAAAGTTATCGGAGCGTGGATCTGATGAGACCGGAGAAGGAGGAAGAGAGAAGGGCTCTCGGGTGCCCCAGGCTCAGACAGCAGCCTCCGCTGAGAAACCCCAGGCCTGCTGGGGAGGAGCCCCACGCGCAGAGAATCAGAGAGGTGGGGGCTGAGTGTCGAGGGCACAGTGGAGACCCCATCCCTGTCCTCACCCTCCGTGAGGACCTCAGCTCCCTATTCAGACGTGACCCCTCTCCTTGGGGCAGCAGCCCCCCTCAACCCACACCGAGTCCACTGACAGCTGTCCCCCACTGAGCCACACGCAAATCTGAGTCCAGCATCCAGCCACACCTCCAAAGGCCCTTCCCAAACAATGACATGCCTGGGAGGTCAAACAGCACTTCCTAAAAAGAAGCCTCCTGGCCCCGGGGACCCCCATAATCCAGCTCTCTCACTCTCCCTGCCACTCAGCGTGCTTCCTCTCCACTGACTTCTTCCTGCACAGGGACTGGGGGCCTGCCCTTCTGCCTTCTCTGGGCCTCCTCCAGCAGGCAGGCCACCCCCGTTGTCGCAGCTAACCTATCCCCAGTGCCTGCCCCTCATCTTTAGTATCTTCATTCCAGGGGAACCCACTTACTCCAAACACAGGGAGAAGGAGGGCACTCCAGCCCCTCTCCACAACCCAGTCTCTCCTTTTCTCAGCCTGGGACAGCCATCAGCTTCAGCCTCCCTGCTGCCTTCCCCACGATCCACCCCGACCCTAGAGGTGAGACCCTTTCCCTAATTCCTAGGGGTCCATTCTCTCCCTGAAGATTGCCTGACACCCCCCTCATGTCCTCCTGGCTCTGAAGAGCATTGAAGTTGCTGTTGGTGCAGAGTCAACGGGCTACTGTGGTGGGGGAGAGGCAGCTAAGGGGATAGAGGAACGGCCAGAAGCCACGATGCACAGCAAATGGGTCAAGCGTGGGGCCTTGGGCTGGAGGAGGAGGCTGCAACCTGGCCCTCCCCAAAAGTCTTCATGCAGGTTGGAAGGAGGGGGCATTTGGGTCCCAGATGTGCCCTACAGAGCGGGCGTCCCCTGAGTAAGGGCTGTATGGGAAGCTGTAGGGCAAAGGGGGCCCAGGGGATGGGAAGAGGGGCCCAGGGCTGCCCAGAAGCGCTGTGAGGGCCTTGGAGCCCCAGATCAGGGAAGGGATGAAAGCACCCTGGCCAGGTGGAGAGACCGGCCTCAGATGAGGGCCACGCACCCACCCCTTTCCCACTTTCCCACCTCCCACCTCTGCCAGCAGCTGGAAGACTGGCTGGTCATGGTCTACAGTTCCTGCGGGCACCAGGGCATGGCCTATGGGGTAGTGTGGGGTGCAGAAGGGTGTGTGGGGGGGGACATGCGGGACTAAGGGGATGCTGCAGGGCATGGGCGGGGTGTGAGGGGCAGGGAGCGGGCAAGGCGAGGTACCTGGGCAGAGTGAGGTGACTGGGCAAAATGGGTTCTAGACGCTGGAAGGGTGTGCGGGACTTGGGAGAGACCCAGGGGCATGAGAGATTCTGGGCTCTTACAGGGCATGCAGGTCAGAGGTGCTGCTCAGATGGGCAGGCCAGGTAGGGGCCAGGTGCGTGGGGGCAGGGACAGTGGGTGGGGCAAGAGCAGGGGGGTAGGGACGTGAGTCGGGGGCGATGAGACAGGAAGGTGGGGCAGAATGAGACAGGTGTAGTGAGTGCGGCAGGTGCGGTGGGCGGGGCGGTGAGGTAGGTGTGCAGTGAGGGGCGGTGGGCGAGGCAGTGGGCGGGGTGGTGGGGCAGGTGCGCGGGGCGGGGCCGAGGCAATAGGCGGGGGCGGTGGGCGGATCGTGGGCGGAGCGACCCAGTGGGCGGGGCCGGTTAACGGGGCGGGGCGGTGGGGCAGGTGCTCGGGGCGGGGCCGGGGCGGGGCAGTGGGCGGGGCGCCGCGGGCCCTCCCGGAAGCCAGGGGGCGCTGTGATGGGTCCACGCAGGCCATGCGCGCCCCTCCTTCCGTCCGCGGCCCGGAAACCGGCGATGGCTCGGAATGTGCTGTGAGTGGCCGGGGGCGCGGGCCTGGGGGGGGGGGGGGGGCGCGCCGGCAGGTGCCGAGGGCAGGTGCCGAGGGCGGGCGCGGGCCGGAGGAGCAGGCAGGCCGGCGGGCTTGGCCGTGGGTCGGCGTGTCCACGCGGCGGCCGGGGCGGCTCGGGGGGGGGGCGCGGGGGAGGGCGGGGGCGCGGGTGAGTCACCCTCGGGGCCCCGGGGAGGTAGGGCTGGCGGCAGACCGCCAGCGCGCTGTGCTGGGAGCAGGCCGGGGCAGTCGGGAGCTGCCCTTGAGCAGGGTCGGGCTTGGGGAATCCGCGGGAGGGTCCAGCGGGCCGAGGGGCAGGGGGCCCCCGGCGGTGCGGGCCGGGCGTGGGGGGCCCGGAGGTGGAGGCCTTGGACGCCAGGGGAGAGGCCTGCCTTGCCCGCCTTAGGCCTCTGACCCTCACCTGGGCGACCCTCCAGCCCCAGGCGGGGTCTGAGACCCCGCGTCCTTAGCCGAACAGCTGCCCCAGGGCTGCCCTTGCCCCCCTGCATTGCCACAGCTGGTCAGCAGGGGGAATAAGTGAGCCCTTGGGTGGCCGACCATTGGCCCTAACTCCAGTGGAGGGTAAAACAAGGCAGGCCTCTTGTTCCCCGGCCAGAGAGGACGAGGCCCGCAGCCTTCATCAGCTGTCCTTCCAGCCTCCCCCAGTGCCCACCCTGCTGGACAGCTGCCACGAAGCGACTTGGTCACAGGCAGATGGCATGTGACCATTCCGTCCTACAGGTGCCCTGGCCTCCCAGAGCCCCAGGTGCCTGCTCAGCCCAGAGGCTCACTGTTCCTCTCACCTCCTGGCCCTCCTCATCCTCACCAGCACAGAATTTGGTCTCCCTGAGCCCCCCTTTCAGGGTGCTGGTCGTACCAAGCTCAGGGGCCACGGGCAGGGCTGCAGAGTGGCCCCCAGGCTTACAGGTGAGACCCGCAATGGCGCCGGGTCCCTGCATGCCCAACCCACCAGGCCTGGCCCCCGCAGACCGAAGGCGCCCTCCTCCCCTGGTTGTGGTGCTGTCTTGAACCTAGAGCACAGGCGCACTTGGCAGTGGCCGTGGGTGGTGACCTCTCACTGCTCTCCAGCGGCCTCTGCTCACTCTGAGGGGTTTTCAGGGTGGGGGAGTGGGGGTTAACAGGTCCCGGTGATGGGTGCTTCTCCCCCTCACGCAGAGTGTGTGCAAGTGACGCCCGCCCCTGCTGCGGTTGAACTGGGGCTGCGGCCCCACGGCAGGCCAATTGCTTGAGGCACTCGACAGTCCTTTCCTAAGGGCCGCAGCCCACACACGTTGGTGGGCACACGAGTCTTGGGGCCCACGCTGGGCAGAACCGTGCAGTGAACCGAGGGGACCCTGGGGCGCTGGCCTGTGGAGAACTGCCCCCATGGCTTCCTGCTGCTGCTGCGGTGGGTAAACAAATGGAGGTCCGCCAGGGGCGACCCTGGGGTCCTGTGTTCGGTGTCTGACACGGATGCATCCCCCTCCCCCAGGTACCCTCTGTACCAGCTGGGTAACCCCCAGCTCCGCGTCTTCCGAACAAACTTCTTCATTCGGCTGGTGCGGCCCGGCACGGCCCAGCCTGAGGACACCGTGCAGTTCCGGATCCCCATGGAGTAAGCCCCTGAGGAATGCAAGCCGGGGAGTGTCCCCTAGATCTGCGGGGGTCACAGAACCTGGCTCCTGGCTCGTTTGTGGGGCTTCTCCCCGCTGTGAAAACACCACAGGCGGCCCTCTGAGCTGCTCTGCAAATATTGACCGAGGGCTTGCTGTTTGCAGAGCCTCGGGTGAGGCCAGGCTGCCCCCCACGCCCTCCCAGCCCCCAACTACTGCCCCCTCCCCCCCGCAGGGAGGCCCCACACTTCTTTAACTGCGTGGAGCTCCGCTGTTCCCAGGCGCCTGGCCCCAGGCTCTCAGAGCTGTTTATCGCAGCTTCCAAAAACCTAGTTTTCCTGGTGGTTCCCTTACTGAGGCCCCCAGCGCCAGAGGGACACAGAACCCTGTCCCCAGGCTGCAGGGCCCTGCTGCAGAGCCTCAGGGTGTGACTGTCCCAGCGCAAGGGTCTGGGGGTGGCTGGGCAGGGCCATGTCAACGATGCCATTTCAGGTGGAAGGAGGATGGGGCCTAACCCACCAACGCCACCATTTTTAGGAAAGGGCCTGGTGGGATAGCAGCTGTGCACGAGACTGGCCCTGGTGGGCTGGGCTCCTGGCAGCCGCGGGCACCCCCACACTGACCCTTCCCTGGGGAGAGCTCTGCGCAGGAGCCTGGCCCCCAGTGAGCACGAGGCTCCCTGCGGCCTCCCCCTACTTGCATGCGGGGCACGGGAGAGACCCCGGGTGGGGTCACGTGGCTGCTGTTCATCTCAGCCTGGCTGGGACTTGCTTTTCTTCCATCTCCATCCCAGGATGACCAGGGTGGACCTCCGGAACTACCTTGAGCGTATCTACAACGTGCCTGTGGCCACTGTGCGGACAAGGGTGCAGCATGGTGCGTGCCAGGCCCCTGCTGCCCTTGGTGGGGGTGGGCGAGCCCAGGAGGCCTCATCCCAGTCTCTGCGGGGGGCTGGTTCTTGCCCGGGAACGGAGGTGCTCGGGGCTGCAGTGGCTTCCCGGGCCCACAGTGCCGACGGGGCAGAGCCGGGGCTGGAGCTCGGGTGGGCAGCCCCGCTCCTGCTCTGGGCTCTGCCCTCGACTGCCTCGGAAGCAGGGTCAGCAGAGCGCTTTCTTCTTGGTTCCCTGACCCCCTTATTCTTCTACCGTGGGCCCCAACCCCCCACTGCACCCTGAGTTGTAGGGTCACTGTGCTGACAAATGGGAGAAAGGGGTCTCCTGATTTCTTTTAGACCCGTTGGGGAGCGGAGACCCACAGTGGTGGCGCTGGCTCCTCACGCCTACTCTGGACCCACAAACCGGTCACGTTCGGGTGGGACCCACTGCCATCTGTGGGAGACCAACCAAGTCCAACGTGTTTGCTTCTTTCTGAAAGTGGGTTCCTGGATGAGTTGGACTGAAGGTCTTGCGCTCGGAGTACAGTGTGTTGTGCCCCCCCCCCCCAGGTTCCAACAGGAAGAGGGACCACAGGAACGTCAGGGTGAAGAGCCCCGACTACAAGGTTGCCTACGTGCAGCTGGTGAGTGGGCTTCGGGCAGAGGCCCAGGTGCCGGGCGTGACTGACCACCACCGTGACCTTGGTGCGGGGGCGGGGGGACGTGTTTGTGCAGCGGGGCAGAGCCTGCACGTAGTCCTAATCCCAGCGAAGCCCCAGGCTGGGGCTCAGAGGACAGTCAGCCCCTGGGAGGAGATGGCGCCGGCCCGCTGTGTCGTGCCCTTGGACTTCGAATGCGCTGTGGGCTTGGGCAGGCCCACCCAGGCCCAGGGGGTCTGGGCTTAGACGGAAACCAAAGCTCCTGGCTCTGGAGAGCGTGTCCTCAGAGGGACAGGCCCCTGGAGGACGGGGGCGGGGAAGGCAGTTGATGGCTTGGACCTTAGAGCTGGACCCATTGCGGGTGCCCCGGGGTCCTGGCCGAGCCCCTCCCCTCTGGGCTGGGTTGCAGAGCTGTGCCGCATTCTGCCCGCTTCTCTTGACTGTGTCTCCTGCCCGTCCTGGGGCATGGGGAGAGGGTCCACTGCCCATCTCCGTCCAGGGTAGAGGCCGACCCACAGCCCCAGAGCCCCTGCTTAGGCTCTGCCCTTCCCGCGGGGACCCCAGAGGAGCTTCGGCAGATGAGCCCTCCCGAAGACGGCCTGTCCCCCGCCACCTGCGTGCAAACCTGCGAGGGATGGCCCTGCTGCCAGGGTGCATTCGCTGCCCCCACTGTTTGAAACCCCGGGGGGGGGGGGGGGGCTTCTGGATTCTTCCATACAGGTGTTGACTGCTCCCGCTGAGCCTGCGGCGGGAGGCAGCCGCCCGTGGCCGCTAGATGGCAGTAGCGCTATTGCGCAAACCTCGCCAGGGCAGGCCTCCTGGGGCGAGAGGAGGCCGCTCGTTAGGAGAGCGGGTTAGCGTGGCAGCTTTTCTGAGAAACAGTCGCAGTTGTTGTTCTAAACAGCCCGTGTAATTATTGGGCCTGATATTTGCCGTGCATAAAAGCAGCCAACCCAGGTGGAGAGAGCGCCCGTTGGCCGTATAAAGGCGCCTGTGTCCTGAGTGTGAAATCAGGCCATCTGTCTCTGTCACGCGTGCGGGCGGACACCCCCTGCGCGGGCACTCGCCACCCGGCCCTCCGCGGGCCAGCGACGCTTACAAGTGGCTTCTGAGTCAGCCAAGCCCTCGCATTCTTCCCCGGGCCCCACCTCAGCCCGCTCCGAGCCCGTGGGTGCAGCTGCCACGGGGCGCGCCTCTCTTCCCACGTGAAACCAGGCAGTGCGGCCGGGGGCAGGGACCCCACTGGGCAGGGCTCCCGCCGGCCCACAGCGACATTCGTGGTGGGCCCCCTGCCCCCAAGTCCTGCACGCCCCGGCCCAGCCTACCCCGCCCGGCCTGCCGACCAGCAGGAAGCTCAGGCCCTTGCCCCCTGAAGGGGTCCCTTCTCTGCCCCCCTTTGCTGGGGCCGACCTCTCCCAGCGTGTCCCCATGGGCCCCGCTCTAGGGCTTCTAAAAACAGAGCTAACTGTAAAGCACACAGAGGGTCAATCACGAGCACAAATTAAGTTTCCGAATCTATTTTGAGTTGACTGCTGCGGAAGAGCCTGTCCGGCGGGGTGGAGGCCCCATGGTTCCCCCCGACAACCTGATACACATCTCTGTGGGCCTGCCCCCCCCCCCCACGGCCCGCCGCACGTCACCGGCCAGCCGAAGCCCTCTGGGGCTCAGGCGGTGGCCCGGGGGGCGCTTGGGAGCGTCGGCCCAGGGCCGGTTCCCACACTGCTCTTTCCCCGGCCTGTTCTGCTGACCCACTCTCTCTGCGCTGTGAAGGGGGTCGAGGGTTCACATTGGGAAAGCAGAAGGTGACAGTCCCCAGAGAGGGCGCCCGCAAGTGGCTCTGGACTCTGGTGAGAAGGGAAGAACCCCCACCGGCTCCGTGTTCCCAGAGCTCTTGCAAACTGGCATCTTGGTGTTTATATTTTAAAATGTCGTTTCGGGTCCCCCCCACCCCTCAGAAAACCAGCAAAATCACCTCAATGTGTTAAACGTAAGTCCCTGTTCTGGGCAGTCAGCCTGCGTGGAAATTGCCGCCCTCAGGGTTTTACAAAAGAAAGAAGGTGCCACGTGGAGCTGGGTGAGCTCGTCCTGCGCCCGGCCGGCTACCGAGGGCACACGGCCCCGCGGTCTGCACTCGGGCCCGCACGCCGCGCCATGTACCAGAATTTATAAACCTTCCCCTCGGGTGGGGCGTGCGGGCTGTTTCAGATCATAGTTGGCCGCCTGCCCAAAGCCAAATTTCTTTACAAAACAAGGGTCTCCAAGAACCAGTGCACTTTACTGATTTTACTTATTAAAATTTTCCAGATACGGATGCCGTCCTCCATGCTTTTTTGCCCGTCTGGAAACAGTGCTGCCCTGGTGTGCGCCCCCCTCCCTCACTCCCCCACGCCCGTGCCCCGATCTTGGGGGGCCGCTCCCTGAGCTGAGGCGAGCTGAAAGGGCACCTCACTGTGGCTGGGGTTCCCCCTCCTCCGCGCCCGCGAGGGCCAGTGCCCTGCACACGTGCTGGGGGGCTGGGCTGGGGCTTGGCCGACGCTGGCACATTCTGAACTTTTAGTGAAAGACGTAAAACCAGTTAATTTGCAAAGCCGGTCTTGATTTATAGACTGCCGCATATGTACATTTCTTTGTACGTTATATGCGTTTTATTTGCCGAGCTCCGAGCCAGGAGGAGGGGTAGGCTTTAATGTGGGTGAAGGCCTGTAGGTATTTTGGATGGAAAAAGTCTCAGCGCGGCACCAGACGTGATTTGTGCCGTGTTTTCCTGTGCTTCGCTCCTGCCCCCCGGTCCGATCGGGCTGCCCCCGCGCCCGTGAATGGGCACTTGGCTGGGCTGCTTTTAACGAGGCCTCTGCAGACACCCCTCCACAAAGAGATAATGCCGATGACGAGGGGCATTGTCCAGAGTCCTGGCTTCCCGCTGGGAGATAAAAGCCAGTGGCTGGCCAACGTGTTTGCGTTCCAGGCAGGGGCAGTGCCGCGGACATGCAGCCGCGTGGCCATCCCCGGGGTCTTGGGGCAGGAGGGGCCCAGGGCCGGTGTGGTGTCCAAGCCCAAGGACTTGTCTCCCCGGCAGGCCCATGGACAGACCTTCACGTTCCCCGACCTGTTTCCCGAGCAAAAGCAGAGCCCCGACGGCAGCCCCAGTGGCGACGACATCCAGGACAAGCTCCTGGAGGAGCAGCGGCAGCGGCAGCGGCAGGACCCCCGGCGCGGCGGCGTGCCCGGCTGGTTCAGCCTGTGACAGCCCCAGTAAAGTCCCACGTGTGGAGCAAAGCCCCAGGCTCTGTGTCCTCTGTCCAGCGCCCCCGCACACAGGGCACCGGCCTGCAGGGACACGGTCCGGCCCTCGGAGCCTCAGGCCGGGGAGGGGCGGGGGGTGCACGAGCAGGGTCTCGTGAGGAAGTCGCGTGTGCGGCCTGTGAGGAGGGGCAAGGCGAACGCCACGGGCAGGGGCCGGTCCCGCTGAGTGACCGGGGGCACTGCCGGTGGCTCTCGAGCACGGAGGGGTCCAGGGCAGGACCCAGAGGAAGCGGTATTCAGCAGACCAACCTAACAGGAGGCGGGAAACGGGGGACAAGGTGGAAAGGACCACCTGCTTGAAGGCCCCGGGGACGGGACAGCATGGGCAGTGGCCGTCGGCACCCTGGGGTGGACAGCCTAGAAGGACCCACAGGGCGTGCATCGAGGGGCTGCGGCTGTGAGATGTGCCAGCGGCCAAGCTGGCCAGTGGCTCTGTGTGCCACAGGCCCCTGTGGTCGTGCTCCGTGAGCCCTGGGTGCTGTGCGCTGAGCACGCGTGGCGGGAACAGGGCCGCCGGAGCTGGGACTGCTGGCTTGAGTGTGTCTGTGTGCAGGTTTCATGCAGACCAGCTGGGCCTAGAGACTTGGGAGCAAACCAGAAAGCACCGGGGTACTGAGCCTGGTGGGCCACACGGCCCCTGAGCTGGGACGCGGTTGCCCCCAGCCCCCAGGAGCCGCATCCTCTGGTGCTGCTATGACCCGAGGAGAGCCCTGCTGCTTCCCTCCTCGGGGGCCTTGCAGGGGCAGCAGGAAGTGGGGGCTAGCTCCTCAACCCCCTCCGCCCTGAGGGACACCCAGACCGGGGACGGCGGCGTCAGTGGGCCTCACGGCTCCCTCCACTTGGAGGGTGATGGTCCGGGCAAGCGCCGCCTTTCAGCGCTGATTTAAAGTGATGGGGAAGGTCCGGAAGGCGCCCGGAGAGCAGAGCCAACGGTATTCTCCTTAGAGAAATAATTCATGGGGCCCCACAGCCCTGAGGACCCCAACTCAAGGCTGGGAGAGGAATCCCATCGTTCATCTGAGCACGTCCGGCGCAGGCCGCCACGCACACCCCACACACGGCCCAGCGCCTCCGCCAGCTGGCCTCCCCATTGGCGCCCCGCTCTGCGGCCTCCCCGAGACCCCCGTGTCCCCCCACCCGCTCCACCCCCAGAGGCACGGTCATCTTTCTGCCGGGGGAGGAGGAAGGGGCCGGAGAGCAGCTGTGTCCTTGGTCTCCCCTGCACAGTCCCCGCCTTGCCCCAGGCCGGCAGGGCCCCCTCCCTGCCTGGGGCCCCATGACAGGCCCATGGGAATGAGGGTGGAGGGGAGGGCAGCGGTGGGGGTTGCCTTGCAGGTCCTCAGGAATCCAGGAAGTGGGCCTGCAGCTGGGGGCTGCTCCACCCCACCCCCAGGCTCAGAGCCTCGGGGAGGAGCTGGCTGGACACCCCTCCCCCTCCAGGCTGCTCCCTGGCCGTAGGCTGAGGAGGGAGACGGCCTATGACAATAGCCCCTTGGGTGTCCTGGCCGTGACTCAGTGTCCCTTCTGCACAGCGGAAGGCGAGCTCCAGGTCTCTGCTTGGGGACTAGAGTGGGGTGTCTCCCACACCGCGAACGAGCGGCCAGCAGGCCCTCCTTGGCTGGACACCTCGCATGGGCCTGGGTGCTCCTTCCTGTGGGGACGGTCCCGTGGGGAGCAGACAGGGCCCCAGGTTGTGGGGGAAGTCCCTGGGCCGAGGGGAGAGTGAGGGCCCCCAGTGCTTACCCCACCCCCGCGAGCCCCCCATCTTCTGGGATGTTCATGTGTCGCCATGTGGGAGGTCTGTTTACTTTGCAAGAGGGAGTGAGAGACCGAGGGACGCCAGGTTATAGCGGGCAGAGGCCGGCAGGGCAGGCTGAGGGGGGCTGGGGCCGGGAAGGGCCCTGGGGCCTGGCGCGTGCTCTGCCCAGTTCCCGGTGTGTGCGGATGAGGTATGGCTGCAGCCGGGTGGGTGCCCAGGCCCCCGGGAACGCATACCAGACCCCTCTCCGCCCCCCAGCCCAGGAGCTGCAGGTGAGGCCCAGCCGCCCAGGGCCATCAGGACGGAGCGGACACCATCTGGCCGCAGTCTCTCCATCAGCGGCTGGTTTTCCTCTTCTAGGGCCGAAGAGTCCTCCCCCGGGGCTGCGCCACGCTGCCGTCTCCCCAGCTCCTAACACAGGGCTTAAGTCTCTGACTCCAGATAACAGCGGGGAGCTTGGGCAGGGTCCCCACGCCACCCACACACCAGGCCACGGGGCCCTCTGCTGGGAAAGTGCCCACACAGCTTTCCACGGCCCAGACCCCCCCTGTTGGGTGGGCTCCCCGCCTTCTGGCCCCCGTGTGCACCCCCTCCCCATGGGCCCCCACCCCAAGCAGAGGATCCAGGCCCAGGGACGCCGCACTTCCTCTTGCCCCACCCCCCACCCTGCCCCAGGGCCTCCTGGAAGGCACGTCTGGAGTGACCAGGCTCCCCCCACTTCCTGGCTTTCATGTGACCCTAAATTCTGCTAGTCTGTGCAGGAGCATAACTGGGGAACGGCCAGCCCCGTGAGCCCGCCGAGGCAGACGTGACGGCCCCGTGTCCCGGCCCGGGGGCTGGGGGCTGGGGGCTGGGTGAGGCGTGGGTGGGTGCTGGGTGGGGAGTGCCGGCCCAGGGCCCCGCTCTCTCGCCTGACCCGGGGCCTCCCTCCCGGCATGCAGGGCAAGGCTCGCACGTCCTCTCCTATCTTCACACGGCTTTCTGGAGACATAGCTCGCATACCCCACCGCCCGCCCCTGCAAGAATGCCGTGAGGTGTCTGAGCACAGTCACAGAGCTGAGTCTCTATCCCTGTGATCCGTTTTAAAAAACATGTTTGTGTCGTCCAGAAAGCAGCCCGTGGCCACCCCCACCCCGCCCGCCCCTGTCAGCCTCAGCTCTGCTCTCCGTCTCTCCGGGCCGGCCTGCGCCCAGCACGTTGCATACACAGGACCCCGCCCCACGCGGGCTCGGTGGTCGGCTCAGTGTCCCCGGGTCCGTCGTGCTGTGGCACGTCTCAGGACGTGCTGTGGATGGCCACGTAATGCTCCGTGGTGTGTGTGTCCACGTGGGTGGCCCACTCTCTGTGGCAGACACTGGGGTTGCTTCCCGCTCTGGGTCCGCGATTTGGGGGACATGCGTGTCTGTGTTCCCCGGGGGAGGACTGAGCGCTCTTCCCGGAGTGTCCCAGGCGAGCCGGACGCTTCTCTGCCCCTAAACGTCCATGGACGCTGTGCAGAGCTGGGCCATGTGTGCGGCTGTCCCCGCCACCGAGGCCTGGGCTCTGCCAGCGGGGCAGGAGCCCGGGTGTGGGAGTGGGGAGCCTCCCCTCCAGCGAGGCTGGCACAGGGAGGGGTTTGGCCCCAGGGACCCCAGGCCCCATGTTGCTGCACCTGGGGCACCCCTCCCCTCGCACACCACCCCGCCTCACACTCCGGAATCCTTGTTTGCCCAGGTGTGGGGCGGCTGGTACAGTGTGGGCTGCTCCCCACACGTCCGGGGGGCCCCGGGCCAAGCCCCGGTCACCTGTGTGCAGGTTACTCTAAGTCCCTTCGGGGCAAAGAAGGAGCCTTCCTCTCCCCACTGCCCCACTGCCCCACCACACCAGGACGCCCTCCCTCTGGGGGCGACCCCAAGCCACACTGCAGGGAGCGCCCTCTTCTGGCCCTTGCCAACCCCGGGGGCTGCACGGCTTGGGGGGCTAAGGGGTGAGGCCTCCTTCCACCGGCTCAGCCCAGAAGGAGCAGCAGCCACTGCCTGCTCACCGGCGGGAACCCCAGCACTGGGAGACCGGTTCAGCATCTACATTTGCTCCTTCCCAACTGAGGTCATCCCAGCACAATCCCCCAAATCACTTCATTATTTCTCGGTAAATAGGGCTTTTCCTAGTCAAAATCATCAGCATTTTTGTGTTGCCCCCACATCTGGCTTTGATTGGCCCCGGCCTCCTCGGATGGATGCTGGAGCCCTGACGTTATGAGGAGAGGCCGGCCGCTGCTTCCCTTGCTTCCCTTCCCGCTCAAGGCCGGGCCAGGGGAGGGGTGGGTGGGGGAGGGAGACCCCAGGCCTCTGCCCTCACGTCTGTGCGCTCCCTGCCTGGGCCTGGGCTCTGTAGGGGGAGTCCCAGGCTCTGTGCCCCATGCCCCATGGCTATGTTCAAGGCCTTCCTTGTGGAGAGTCCCGGCCCTGGCCTTCATCTCCGTGGTGTCCCCCACCCCCCGGGAGCATGCGGGCATTTCATCCCAACCGCCCCCACACACACACCAGGATCTCTGCCACCCCCTGTCCCTGAGAGACGCGTGACAGGAAAGCTCTCCCACCCAGCCCCCGCCCCACAGCTCCCCAGCATGGAGTTCAGCGGAGCCCAGCAAGGAGGCTTCCCGGTGAGCCCGACTCTTGGCTCTGAACGGAGGGAGGAGGGACGGAGGGAAGGGAGTCTGGGGGCTGGAGGCTGGGCTGGGCTGCGCTCACTCCTCCCGCAGCAGGAGCCTGGGAGATGGCTGCTAGCAGGCTCCACAGGGCGCCGGGGCACCTTGACCCCGCGCAGCTATCTGGGTCCTGTGACGTTACCTACGGTGCTGGGGGCGGCCCAAAGACCACCCCCCACCCCCGAGCTGGTGGCCGGGCGGCTGAGCTGCAGACACCAGGGACAGGCCAGGGGCAGCTGGTGCGGAGCGAGCCGGACGGCATCTGCCGGCGGGCCTGCGCCCACTGCCCGCCAGGGAGGGGAAGCTCGAAAATCCTCCACGGGAGCTGGGGAGAACACCGAGGGGGCTCAGTGCCCCCCGGTGGGTGTTCCTGGGGCCCCCAGCCCCTTCCGCTGGCGCTGCAGGCCTTCACTCCCTGCCGCGGGGGAGGTGCCTCCCAGAAGCCTTTGCAGTGGGCCCAGGGCAGGGGGGACGCGCCCCCTTAAACGGAACAAGGTGCTGGCCTTTCATACCTTCGCTTTACTAAGT